TGGGTCAGGAGCTCCCTGGCGCCTGAGCGGAAGGACCCTGCCCGCCGATGCAGGAGATGCGAGGGCTGGACCCCTGGGTCAGGGGCTCCCTGGCGCCTGAGCGGAAGGACCCTGCCCGCCGATGCAGGAGATGCGAGGGCTCGACCCCTGGGTCAGGAGCTCCCTGGCGCCTGAGCGGAAGGACCCTGCCCGCCGATGCAGGAGATGCGAGGGCTCGACCCCTGGGTCAGGAGCTCCCTGGCGCCTGAGCGGAAGGACCCTGCCCGCCGATGCAGGAGATGCGAGGGCTCGACCCCTGGGTCAGGAGCTCCTGGCGCCTGAGCGGAAGGACTCTGCCCGCCGATGCAGGAGATGCGAGGGCTCGACCCCTGGGTCAGGGGCTCCCTGGCGCCTGAGCGGAAGGACCCTGCCCGCCGATGCAGGAGATGCGAGGGCTCGACCCCTGGGTCAGGGGCTCCCTGGCGCCGAGCGGAAGGACTCTGCCCGCCGATGCAGGAGATGCGAGGGCTCGACCCCTGGGTCGGAAAGATATCCTGGGGGAGGGAAATGACGACCCGCTCCAGTACTCTTGCCTGGAGAATCCCGTGGACACAGGCGCCTGGCGGGCTATAGTCCCATGAGGTCAGACATGACTTAGCAGCTTAACACCAGCAACACAAGGCCCTAACTCAGAATTTCTAAGTGCAGGGTCTAAGCATCAGTAACTTTTAGAAATTCTTTGGGAGACTCTGACGTACAGCCAAGGGTGGGATCCACAGCACCAAACTGAAAAGACTCTTTTATCACAGCTAATATTGAAGCATGGATTATTTAATCAATTCAGCATCTTGTAAAATAGGCAGGCAGACTAAAAGCACAATAGCTGGCCTGCCATTTTCATCTCCTGTTCTCTTTCACTGAGTTTTCTTTAAGGTGCGTCTTAACAGTGAGTTGTCATACCTTTTCGCCTTTTCATCCTGTTCATGGGGTTCTCAAGGCAGGAACACTGACGTGGTGTGCCATTCCCTTCTCCAGGTGATGTTTTTGAACTGTGGTGTTGGAGAGGACTCTTGAGAGTCCCTTGGACTGCAAGGCGATCCAACCAGTCCATCCTAAAGGAGATCAGTCCTGGGTGTTCATTGGAAGGACTGATGCTCAAGCTGAAACTGCAATCCTTTGGCCACCTGATGTGAAGAGCTGACTCACGGGAAAAGACCTGATGCTGGGAAAGACTGAAGGCGGGAAGAGAAGGGGATGACAGAGGATGAGAGGGCTGGATGGCGTCACCGACTCGATGGACATGGACCTGGGTGAACTCAGGAGCTGGTGATGGACAGGGAGACCTGGCGCGATGCGGTCCATTGGCAGCATGGATTCTGCGTCTCACTCGCAGAGAGTAAGGCACAACTGGGCAACTGAGCTGACTGCCTTAGCAGTGAAGATATGCTGAAACTATGGGGATATTTAATATGATTAGCTAATTGATCTCTTGAAACAGCAGGATCAACGCACACAGCAAGCAGAGAGAAAGTCCTAAATAGTGGACTTCTCACTGAACCAATCTTTGGCAATAAGGCTTTGGCATATACCCAGGAGAGAGGTGAGGTTACCAGTGGCGATATGGTCCCTGACCGAATTCAACCAGTTGCTTTTTCTCCTAGGTCCATGACTACTGAGCTGCAAAGTTCCATTCAGCTGGAATTTCCATTCCATTCAGTGGCTTGTATTTTATTGTTCTTTCTAAATGGGAAGCTCCCAGTGCAGTGGAAAGAACAGTTTGCAAACAACAAGTCTCTGCACATACTTTGCCCTCACACCTCTCACCAGAAAAAGAAAACCCAGGCTTCTTTCTCTTCTTCTCTTTCCTCTGAGACGGAGTCCAGAGGCTTGCCTCCTAGAATAAAATAGAACATGGAATGAACTGACCTGCTTAGCATGACACTAGATTAGAAAGCAAGACTTGGGACAAGAGGGAATTCATTAAATTCTGCGATCCCTTCCTTAACTGATGGAAATCCATACGTGGTAGGTGGAGTAAGAAACAGCTTTTCTTAAACACGACCCAGGCAGGACGATAAAGTGCGGGGCAGACCCCTCTGATCTCTGGTTGCTAAAAATAGAGATGGCAGACAAAACTGCTGACAGCAGGAAGGCCTCGGACGATGTTCCATATCCGTGCTTCGATAGCTTGTGATGGAGAGCTGAGCACTTCAAGTACTCTTGCCCTTGTTGAGGCTTTAGCAGAAGCACGCTGTGTATCTATTAACTGCTCATTCAGCGATATTTGCTGTGTGCCTACTGTGTGTGGATGACTGTTCTAAGTGACGGAGATAAGCAAGCCAGACAAGCAAGCAAGCAAGACAAACAGAAACATTCTTCAGCGTGCTTTTTGGCCCTCTGTATATTTTCTTTGAAGAAATGTCTATGCAGATAATGGATAAAGGTGGGGTACATACGTACAGAGGAGTGTGACTCAGCCATAGAAAAGGATGAAACAATGCCATTTGCAGCGATGTGGATGGACCTAGAAATTATCATACTCAGTCAGTCAGACAGAGAAAGACAAATATTGTATGATACCACTCATGCATGCATGCATGTTCAGTCGCTTCAGTCATGTCTGACTCTGCGACCCTGTGGTCCATAGTTCTCCAGGTTTATCTGTCCATGAGATTCTCCAGGCAGGAGTACTGAACTTGGTTGCCATGCCATCCTCCAGGGGATCTTCCTGACCCAGAGACTAAGCACACGTCTCTAGCATCTCCTGCATCGCAGGCAGATTCTTTACCACTGAACCACCTGGGAAGCCCAATATCACTCACATATGGACTCAATTAAAAAAAATTATATAAATGAAGTTATTTGCAAAATAGAAACAGACTCACTGATTTCAAAATGGTCACCAAAGGGGAAGGGTTAAGAGGAGCTCGCGATTAGCACGCACACAGCACTGTCCGTGGAGCGGAGGACCAGCACGGCACAGGGAACTCTACTCAGCTTTCTGTGATGAGTAACTGAGAAAAGAATCTGAAAAGGAATTAACATATGTGAATGTGTAACGGAATGGATGAATCACTCTGCATACCTGAAACTGACACTATGCTGTAAATCAAGCACACTCCGACAAAATTTTAAAAACCAGGAACCCCTGTATCTTGGAGGCCCTCAGAGCGCAGGGAGGCAGGACTACCTTCTTCATTTCCACTCAGTCTGGTGACAGGAGAGAGGACCTCCGCTAGAGGGCTGACCTAAATCTGAAAGAAAGGTATCTACTGAACCATCTAGACAGAGACAGAATTATTCAGAGTCTAAACATGAACTTGGTCTGAGGTTACTGAAGCAAACCAATAGAAGAAGTTTGATCCTCTTCTTCCAGGGTATTCCAGAGCACATCAATTCAATCAGTTCCAAGAAAAACAAAAAACAAACCAAAAAAACACACACAAAAAAACAAAACAAAGCTACATTTCTTAGCACATGTTTAGTAATTTTGCAGCTCTGGTCTATTAGAGAACAAGGGGAAGGAATGGGACAGCAGAACACCTGGGAACAGAGAATGCCTGAGACACTGTGGTCATGGGTCATCGTCGATGCTGGCATACCTAGAGGCCTCGGGAAGACACAGCCGTCAGGAAGTAGATGGCCTGGATGGCTTGAAGAACTGATATACTGCTGCTGTTTAAACTGAGGGCTGGAACTGTGCTCTAGTTACAAAGGTCAAATTCCTAGAACAAAGAGTAGTATAGGTGAGCTGTTTTGGTCATTGAAGTTAGATAATGCCATGCTTGAAGGAATTTGTGTACATGTATGTATATTCTACATCACTGAAATAGGCACTGTGAGCTGCCACAGATCTTAAAACACCCTCCTGACCATGTGGAAGCCGTCTGCGGAGTATTTAGGTCCTCCGTCCAATCACCATGAGCCACAGCTCACTCTCCTCCTCTGCTAGACACCCAGTCAGTGTTCAACACGGTCTTCATTACTTTTTACCCACTACATGGCCATCTAATTTTTTCTGTAGTGTCCCTAAACGCACCACTAACAGGTCTATGATCAAGGGGTTATACAGGGCATCATCTAAAGATCTAACACCTTTGACAGGATATACATTCTTCTAAAAAACTCCCAGGATAGCAAGAAGACAGTATATAGAGTGGATGACCAACAAGTGATCACCATTTGCTAGAGGGTTTTTGGACTCTCCATTTCTCCATTTTGTGTCAATTACATATCTGCAGTGTTTGACATGTCTCCTAAATATAGACAGACTGAAGCAGATCCTCAGTGGCAGCTAAGTATGGCTGCTTAACTGTCTCCTTACATATTCAGGAAAGAGTTGAAGTATGAAGCAATGGGTACGCCGAGTGCAATCAGGGGTGATGATGATGAAAGTAAGCAGTTCTCCAAGGAAAGATGTCTTTCCCTGGTTCATTAATTGGTTAAAGACCTTAGATCAGCACAAACTGCCTTTAGCTGGTAATTAGCATGCAAATAAGCAATGGCCCACAAGCCCAGGCTTTAAAAGAAATGAGGCTGGGCTTAAAAGGAATGCTGGAGGCAAGCATATCTTAATAAAAATAAATAATTCCCTAAGCACTGGTACTTTTTCTTTAGGATGCTTTCTTTCCGAATCCTATGAACCCCACTCTGAGATTTGACTCTATTATTAAGATTCACCACTGAGGTCACTGAAATAAATTCTTTAAGAAATAACTGTCAGAAGAAAGCAGATTGCTTCTGGGGGAGACCTGCGGGTTTTCCATTAGGAAGCTTATGAAACATTTCTATCTGGTACATAAAGCTGGGTTTTATACCACAGTAAATTTTGCAAAGGCTGGAAAGTCGCTGTAGAGATTAATAGATTTGGAACCCCCAAATCAGCTCCATATCTCAAAATTAGCAGTCACCTTTGTGTTTCTCAGGATAGGTTAGGCTACGAGACTGTGAGAAATTAATCCCAGAATCTCAGGGCCTGAACATCAGCAGAGCTGATCTCTCGCTGCGGCTCCATTTCCAGCTCAGCCAAGCAGGGGCCACTCCTCCTCATCCCACAGGACCCAGCTGCTGGAGGCTCTGCCCGTTTGTAACTGCACCATCTGGAGCCTCTGCCGCTGGCTCTTGAATGCTTCACCCTGGAACTGAGGCTCTTTTTCTTCTGCTGTTAGCCCGTTGGCCAGCACAGGCCCTCTGGCCCCATCTAACTGGAGAGGGGCTGAGAAATATAGCAGGGCACTCAGTGAGCACGCCTGTCTGATTGTACCCACCCTTTCTGCCCTTCTCTGCTGCGGCAAATCAGGTCAAGCCCAGGGTCACCAATATGCTTTTTTTAAATGAATAAGAAGAAAATGTGGACACTGTCTCAAGAACTAAAATGCCTGCGCGGGTAGAATGCAGTACCCTGACCACTCCGTGCGGTATTTAAGTTGGAGTCCTCTTTGGACGATACCAAAGTGCTCCTGCTGTTATTTTTTAAATTGTTTATCTGGATTACTGTTTCTCAATATTGTCTTTCTTTATCTCACCCCTAAAGAAGTTTTTTTGACATTTATTTTTCCAAACGGCCCCCTAAGGAAATATTACTGCTATAGATATACTAGATATCTATTTATATGCCATACGTATATCTGAGCTTTACATATGAAAATAGTAACCTTTTTTTCCATAAGAACCAAGGATTTTTGTTACCCTCTTGGACGATATGGCCTTAACACTTAAGAACTGTGGCTGCTTAGTAGCTAAGTAGGATCCGACTCTTTCGCGACCCCGTGGACTGTAGCCCTCCAGGCTCCTCTGTCCATGGATTTCCCAGGCAAGAGGACTGAATTAGGTTGCCCTTTTCTTCTCCAGGAACCCTCATCCGCTGTGTCTCCTGCATTGGCAGGAAAGTTTCGTTACCACTGAGCCACCTGGGAAGCCTACCCTTGAGAAAGTATGATCCAAATTTAGCAGAACTGTTTCCAATTGTCTCTGTAAACAAGGCGCTAGAAAGCAATTCAAATGGAAGACTTCTGCAGTTTGGCATGAAGCATTAGCAGGGCTCCTTTGGGCAGATGTTAAAGATCATAAAACACCAGGGGGTCCCACGCACAAGCTAGAACCGGAAATCTCTCTGGATAAAGGGCAAAAGCAGCATGCGCAGATTAGTTCTCCTGGAAAGTTTCCTTCTGCCCCGTCCCCTCACTCCTTTTCTTCAATGTGCAAGGGGATGGGAGGAAATTGGTCCAAGCAGCCCAAGAGCTGTTGTAATTTGGGATTCTATGAAAACCAGTCAGAAGTGAATATTCAAGGGTGATATTCAATATCACCTCTGATGTGTGATATCTCACAAGGAAAACAATGAGCCTTGGAGCTTGCCAAGCAGGATCCAGAGGATGAAAGAGTAGGAAACTGGGATGAGCCTCTGTTAAGCCGATGGGAGTATGCCAGATTCCCAATTCTGTTATCTGATACAGTCTTCCAGAATTGGCAAGAAAATTTAAGCTGTTTTGCATGAATATTACAAAGGAAAAAAAAAAGTGAAAGCAACTCACCTTGTCATTAGTATTTTGTCAGATATGCCACATCAAAGTTTGCAAACTTTATACTATTTTATCTGTGACCAGTACGCTGACCTTGGTACTTGCCTTGGTGTCCCTCTCTCCTGCCAGTCTCCTGTCTTTTCTACGTCAGCCCACTCTTTCAGGGAGGATGCTGAGGGCGTGGAGCCGGGGCTCCACATAGTCTTTATTTCACTTCATAAGATCCTGTGGAAGAGTTGGAGCGGCAGTGGTCAGAGGGGCAGGAAATGCGCGCATCAGACAGGAAGCACAGATACCTTTAAAAAATTGCACAGAATTAATAAGGTACTGGCTTGTTTCTAAGATCTATGATCAAGTGACTGCTCTAGATACCGTTTACAAAACTGATACTTTGTTGGGAGACAAACCAAGTTTTGTGATATAATTAAATAGAAACTAAATTGGAGAAAATGCATAATCATTTTTTTTATTAATATGTTAACTCTGTAAAGAGTATTTGCGTATTGTAGGCATTGAGCAAGATAACTAAAGCAAGTTAATTAGACTTCAAGTGAATTGCCACTATGTTAATTCATATTTTATAAGAACAGTAATTAAAATCCAACATGGTATAGCAGCATTTTATTATATCCAATACTAACATTTCCTTAGAAGTGATTTTAAAACTCTAGATTAATGGATTAGTACAAGTGCAGTAGGGTAACTGGGCATTTATTGTTAATAGAATCTAGATTACGAAGTGAATTTTTATTGTTTTTAAAGTCGTTCACTGCACAGTTTTAATGATATAATAGTTGCATTCCTTTGGGAGTTCATTTGTAGCCACTTGGTGCCACAAATGACTTTCTACATACATATTAAAATAAACACTGGTTTGACATCATTTCTCCAGTCTCACTTTACTTATTTAGCAAGCATAATCAGCATGGTCTTTGGACCTGACTCCGAGCGCGGTGGGCAGCGTGACACAGGAGGAGAGCTGGGCTTTCCTCCTCAAACCGCCACGCCCGCTTGCCGAGCGCCTCCCACATCCGAGCCAGGGCAAGGGTCCAGGGGTGATTCCGCTTCCTTCGCGAAAAAATAACTGGAGGAAGGATGATGAGGTAAGAAAGGCGTGTGAAGTCAGGTCAGGCCCCTCCTCCCGCAGATTACCTGTGCTCCTGATCGCGTGCCATTTAGAGGAGAGAAAGGCGTTGCCCTGCTGATGCGGGGTCCCAGCAGGGCTCCAACAGGTGATGAGGCCAGTGTGTGCCCGCAGAAGCCAGGAGAAACCGTGCCCTGGGCTTTTAACCAAGTCACCCCGAGGGGGCCGCCACCCTGCTGAGAGCCGCTGCGGAGTCCCCGAGCTGCGGGTTGGAGGGTCTCTCCTTGCCGCTCAGAGCTTGAGATGAGTGAGGAGACTGGCCCCCCTGAAGCCGTCACCGCCGCGCTCAGGAATGTCTTCCCGCTCCAGCTTTCCCAGCGAGGAAACCTGCGCAGCGCCGCACCGTGCCGCACTTTGCGGGGAGTGGCTGCATGGCCCTGCCGATTGTCGGATGCCCAAATCGTCCCTCCGGAAAGATTTAGACTCCAGCTGCTGGCCCCCCGGTTCTGCGCACCCTCCGGACACCTGCCTCGCTTGGTCACGTTCACTCCCTGCACAGCCTGCAGCCAGCAAGGAATCAAAGGTGGAGACGACCCACCATCCAGCCCTGAAGCGGGGAAGGGGCAGAGGCGGACGCGTCCTTTCCACGCTGCCATTGAAACCACAGGGCAGCTCCAGCCTCGTTTGGTCCAGTCCCGCTTTTCCGGTTTTCCTTCCATGGTGGAACCCCCAGCACGTCCCCTGGTAAACTGTGCCCCCCAGGACTTGCTTCCCGAGGAAATCAATTGCATCCACCCTGTGCTGCTTCGGGAACTCAGGTTCCCCATGATCTTGTGGACATCACAGAGGCAATTACAGCCATGGTGTTTGTGTTTCCATTTTGAATACACACTTCATGAATGGCTTAAATAAATGAAAACAGCAGCTGAATTTAAATTATAGGGTTAACAGAAGGGATTGAGTTTATAGGATTTAAAAGAACACTGATCTTGAAGGGCATTTGATAAGTGAGGAAATTTTACAATGAAAGATAATTAGATTAAGATCATGAATATATTAGAAATCAGAGACACACATTTAGGTGGTGGTCTCAAAAGAGAAGGAACATTTCCCTTTGCAGTCTTCAGTGTTTAAAAACTAGAGAAAGACCCCAGAGTAAAGTATGCTTTGCCTTTACAGCTTCTCATTGGATGACTCTTTGAGAAAAGACGTCATGTTTTCTACAGGGAAAGAGGTTTGAGTAAATGAGGGAATTTCTCTTGTAGATGTTACTAGAGAGGAACATTCAAGCTCATTACCATTTATATGTAATGAAGTCATTCACTGAGCCTTTTAAATGCCCCTCCACTGAACGAATCCCAGGATAACCAGCATGGAGCCAGGAAGAAAGCAATTGTGTGGGTTTTTTTTTTTTTTCATATTAATGACACTACTTTTGGAGACATCTCGTAGAAACTTTCCAAATATTTGAAAAAGAAAAATCTCTTAATAGATTTTTATAGCAGACTTTGTTGTAGAATTCAGATAGTTTCTAGAGAATTCTGCAACCATGAGCTCTCTTTGAGCCCTCCACTCTCCCCAGAGATATCTGGGGTGATATCATCTTACTGAAGATGATATCAGTGCTTTTTAAACTATAGATATCGCCTCAGTTCAGTTCAGTTACTCAGTCCTGTCTGACTCTGCAACCCCATGGACTGCAGCGCGCCAGGCCTCCTTGTGCATCACCAACTTCTGGAGCTTGCTCAAACTCATGTCCATTGAGTTGGTGATGCCATCCAACTATCTCATCTTCTGTTGTCCCCTTCTCCTCCCTCCTTCAACCTTTCCAGCATCAAGGACTTTTCAAATGAGTCAGTTCTTCGAATCAGGTGGCCAAAGTATTGCAGTTTCAGCTTCAGTATCAGTCCTTCCAATGAATATTTAGGACTGATTCCTTTAGGATGGACTGGTTGGATCTCCTTGCAGTCCAAGGGACTCTTAAGAGTCTTCTCCAACACCACAGTTCAAAAGCATCAATTCTTTGGTGCTCAGCTTTCTTTACAGTCCAACTCTCACAACCATACATGACTACTGGAGAAACCATAACTTTGCTATAAAAGTTTGCTATTTCTTCTGAGTATTTTTAGTCTGAATCTGGGAAAGATTGAAGGTGGGAAGAGAAGGGGACAACAGAGGATGAGATGGTTGGAAGGCATCACCTACTCGAGGGACACAAGTTTGAGAAAGCTCCGGGAGTTGGTGATGGACAGGGAAGCTTGGCGTGCTGCAGTCCATGGGGTCACAAAGTTGGACATGACTGAGTCACTGAACTGAACTGAACTGATTTTTAGTCTGAGATTCAGAATGTTTCTATGTTTAAACTTTTCTTCATTATATCTTCCTGGTGCCATTAAATCACAGCATTTCCTGATCCCCTTCTGCCAAATAGCATTTATTGCGATTTAGAAGTTGGAGATTAACTAAAAGGCTGTAGATAAATTAGAAGTCTCTTTAATAAACTGCATTAAGTATAGTTACTGTCCTTTCTGTTCATGGAGGAGAAGTCTACTACCAGGATGCAAACTCATTTGTGTATTCACTTATTTTACTTCAACAACAATATTAATTATGTCTTCAAACCTAAAATGGATGATGAGCTTTGAGATAAAGGATACCTGGCTACAGAACCTAGTTTCCCTCCCCTCTATTTTCTTTCTTTCCTACTTTCTTCTTTATATGTTTTTGTCAACACTGATAGATAATCCTAACACAAAATGTAAAACTGTATGCCTTCACTTATTCAACAAACATTTTTGAACATCTATTATATGCCCCAATATGTGTTAGAAATGTGGGATACATTTTTAGCCAAGCAGGCTTATCCCTTCCCTAAAGGAACTTAATAGAAAGGAAGAAAAAACTTTCTTCTATCTCCATAGGCTCTATGCCTGAACTTAAGAATTAAACTGACCTCAGACATTAACAAGATAAAAGCATACACATTTTATTTAATATTTTTTACATGGTCAAGAGAGTCTTAAAAAGGAAAATGAAGACCCGAAGAAGCTGTTAAGGCCCCGAATCTTATACACTTTTAAAACAAAGAATGATAAATTGTGGGGCTGTGACAAGACAATTTAACTTGGGCCAGGGGTAGGAAACAGTGGGCCAGGGACAAGGAAATACATGCAGGAAACTGATGGAAACTAAAGATTACTTTAGTAGGTTTCTACATACAGATCCATTTCAGCATTGACTCCCATCAGGTGATAGAATGTTTTTCTCAGTCCAAGGAGATTGCTTTTCTCACGGAACTTTTATGACCGACTTTGAGGTAGACCAGGGAAGCTCAGAGACACCTTCCTGCATTTGCTGTTTCTCAAGAGCCTTCCGCTCAAAATAATCAATATGCCAGAGAAGCATATTTGGGGTGGCCCACCCTGAACTCCTCATTGACATAAAATGATACCTGCCTTCAGAGAGTTCATCCCAGGTAGCAGACATGCCTCAGCTGTGTCACATGCATTAGTTGTTGCATGAAGATGAGTTTGGGAATATCTCAGTTACACTTTCAGGATTCAGGAAACTCTCAACAAGAGAAAGAAATCCAGGCAAGGAAAGACCTTGTGTAGGGATCTGTAGGCTTAACGGTGAGATTCTGGAGCAGCAGGGTTAGGAGGCACTGAATTGTGTGCCTGCAAAGGGGAGACACAGGAAAAGAAGCAGGCATGTTAGCAAAAACCTTGATCAGCTCACCAACTTGCATTTCTTACTGAGGAGGCTGGGATGGAAACTGTGTCAGAGAGAGCAAATTGACCCAAATTGAAGATTTGGGATCCCCTCCTGTGAGGCAGAATTACTGCTAAAAAATGGTTTCCCTACCAACTACATTATATCGTCTCTCTGAATCTAGATGGTGCTAGCTGCTGTGGTTCAGTCGCTCAGTTGTGTCCGACTCTTTGTGACCCCATGGACTTTGCAGCCCACCAGTCTCCTCTGCCCATGGGATTCTCCAGGCAAGAATCCTGGGGTGGGTTACCATTTCCTTCTCCAGGGCATCTTCCTGACCCAGGGATCAAACCTATGTCTCTTGCTTTGGCAGGCAGACTTTTTAACCACTGAGCTACCAGGGAAGCCCATGTGGTGAGTAGTGTTTACTAAGTGAGTGTGTCTGTCTCAGGTGGAGGGGATGTGAAATAAGGGTTAGTTTTCTCCACTGCCTCTCATCTCTTGGTTGAATAATGATATGCAGGGCACCCTTGGAAGCCCCATGAAGAAGAAGGAACCATTGCCAGCAGCCTAGGTTTTGAATGACTAGATGAATCTTAGCCCCACCCTCTAATGAAGAACACCAACGCTGGACTGATACATAAGTGAAAAATCAGCTTTTACTGTAACATGCAATGGGCATTTTCTGTTTTATCACTCTAGCTTGTTTTACCCTAATTAATGCAAGGATAGGTGTGATATGATCAGTGTATATTTTTGAAAAGAGAAGATGCATTGTGTAGCCCCGAAGGTCACGTGCTGGTAAATTGCAATAAGCTACTAGAAGGTAGGACTTGTATCAGGACTTTTATAGCTGAAGAAGATTACAGGATTGGGCAACATTTGGATGAATCATCCTACAAGAATTTCTCCTAGCTTCAGTAAATGATGTCTAGGTGGTCCCAAGTTTTAAAATATGAGTGGCAAGTTGTTAAAAACATAATACAAAAATATCCCTTTAACAATGAAATTTGTGGTACACTAAACATGCATATTAGATTTGAAGAACCCAAATATGATGACTAGAAGCAACTGTAAATATTACTTAACAATTCAAATATTGCAGTATTTGAAATGAAGGATTCTATTTTTAATGGGAAATCTGTATCTCATCATAAAAAGGAATACTTTTGGCCAACTTTCCTTCACATAAAGTGGCTCTTTCTTCACATGGATGTTAGCCATCTCATAAAGACAAGATTGCTATGATATATTTCAAGGAGGAGAGCCCAGAGACTTACAAATGCACACAGAGTGTAGCTTGAAGAGAGATGTTCCCTCTGCCAGGGTATAGGACGCCCGATCATGAATCCTGACAGAGCGGACGTTGCAGATTGGAGTCTGGAAGGAGAGAAGAAGTCAGGGAAACAAGCGCCACTGTAGAACAAATGATGGGGATAATTAAGGCTATGAGTCAAGAAGGGTTTAGCTCTTGCAACGCAAATAAATCAGAAGCCCATTTGAAGCAAGGAAACAGTGTGCCTCTTGGAATTTGTCAAGTTCTTGCCTTTTTGATTTCCATGTAATTTAATGCTCTCTTCAGGAAGTATCTTCCTCTTGTAAGATACATAGGAAAAAAATATGGTAACTGCCAAAATATGAGAAGAGGCTTATACACACACCTAGCTGCCTTGAACTGGTTTTGAATTAAAACAATAAAAAAGACATCAATCATATTTCTCAATCAGTATTTAGCATATCATTACCAACCTTGGCAGGGATAAATGACACATTTTTAGGTGATGCTAATGAAGATGACATTTTCAGATGGCCCAAACTGGAAGTTTCTATTTGTAAAATAATCCCTGAATGAGACATTGGATTTCTGAGGGGGAGGTTTGCATCACTAAACTAGTGTATTGCTCCTTTAAAGGATTCATACATAAATTGATTAACCTATTTTTTCAAACCACACTTTAATATAATAATGTTTTTGTTTATTTTTTGATTTCATGATGGTTATTAGTTG